TAGCAGGCCCTCAAATGTTTCAAGAACATAAACTTGGGTCTTCACTATCAAAGTCTGGTCTTCACCATACAGGTTTACAGAAGTGTGCCATGGCCCAATCAAAGGAAATTCCTGACGACATTATAAAAAGAATTATTGAAACAGTGCTGGAAAAGGTTCCAAAACCATTTCTAAAGAGTTTGGCCTCCACCAATCCACTGCGAGGCAGATGATATACGCAAGGAGTGGTCATTCAGCAAAAATCACTTCACGGGTGCCACAAATAATATTACAGGAACCCCAGAGTAACATCTAAGGATCTACAGGCCACTCTTACATTGAACGTTCATGAGTCCACCATCAGGCAAACACTGAACAAGCAAAAACCAAACACTGCATCCCAAGAACCTCATCCCAACCATGAAGCATGGGGGTGGCAGTATCATGGTTTGGGGCTGCATTGCTGCCTCAGGTCCAGGACAGCTTGCCATTATTTTTGGACCTATGAATTCTGGATTGTAACAGCAAATTCTACAGGGTAATGACAGGGTATCTGTTCGTGAACTGAAGCCTAACCATAAGTGCAGCAAGACAACAATCCTAAGCACACAAGTAAATTTACAAAGAAATGGTCAAAGCAGCAAAAATGTAACATTTTGGAATGGCCAAGTCAAAGTCCTGACCTTAACCCAATGGAAATATTGTGGAAGGACCTAAAAAGAGCAGTTCATGCAAGGAACTTACTGTGCAGGATTGATGACCAGTTACCAGAAATGTTTGGTTGAAGTTATTGCTGCTCACGGGGGTTATACCAGTTATTGAAAGCAAAGGCTCACATACTTTTTCAGACAAAGATATTTAATGTTGGATAATTTTGCATAATAAATAAATGCAAAAACTATAAAGTTTTTGCGTCATTTGTTTAATTGGGTTCTCTTTGTCTAGTTTTAGGACTTAGATGATCACATTTCAGGTCTGATCACATTTGAGGTCAAGTCAAAATGTGTGAGCCAATGAAGTGATTTAAGAGATCGTGCAGGATGTTCCCTCATTCTGAGGACAGTGGGAATGTTATTCTGAACTCATACATTTGTAATACAGTTCTTTCATAGTTCAAAACAGTATAGTTCAAAAGAGTGCTATAGTAATCCAGGCTACTTTACAAAAAAGCATGTGCAAGTTTTTAAATATCACAGAGATATTACACTGGCATTTTTAGGCATGTATTGAGGGTTATATTGGTGATACAACTTGGACATGGTGGTGTTGTATTTGATTAGAGAGAATGAGTTACTCTCCTCATTATGAGAGGTTACACAAAGAGGGCTGCTTTTTGTCTCTCATTACTCACACCCTTGAATATCAGTTATTTTGTGCTTACATTACTAATGAAATATGCCTTAAAGTTCTCATAAGCATTTAATTCACACTTGAGCACTTTTCGAGAGTGATGATGTGTTAAAAAAATTTCAGCTTGCTTCACTACTAAACAATGGTAAAATGGAAGACCATTCCCATAAGTGTTTAGGCCTCGAATATTAGAATTAAGAAGAGGGTAGTGCATCCCTACCTCATTACAGTAGCTCTCCAGTAGATCTCCTGCTCCTAACTGCACTATTTCTACACTGTGAATTCTGTTACACTAACACTGAGTAACTGGAGGTGCTTCTTCTTTGCGACACATCCCTCCTTGATTATTCTTTACCTTTCCCATCAGGCAGGCCATTTAAATTGCTTGCCGAGCAGTTTCTGCTAGATTAAGCATGGTGGCAGGGTCTTTCATAAAGCTCCTGTCAAAGATCCACAGACTGCTTCACTGAAGAGCAACTCCATTTACCTCCATTGTTGCTGCCTAACAACTGTGCTTTTATGGTATTCTAACGTTCTTTGACAGCTCCCCTTCTTTTCTTGTTACCGGACTGGGCATCCCTGTTGAATTAACTATTGTGCAGCACGCATTTTTATTCAACGCAGGCACAGAACATGGAGGAAGAAACTGAACTTTATCTCATGTGCCGTGCAGCTCTGGTGGCTTCATAAGGGCATGCCAGCTTCTGAGCTCTAACAGCTCTGACCATAGTTGGTGGATTTCAAATACTGAAGCTCACACAGAAGACAATGAGTGCATCAATCAAATGCCATGCTTTCTCACCAAATTGAAAGGTACAGAATTTGTGGAACATTGGAGAGCTATATTTAATTATGCACAGACACTGGGTGGGTACACAGCAAACATATTCTGATGCAATGAATACATCATGATTACTCATGTTTGTATTTCACACATTTATATCAGGGCAGATTACATCAGTTTTTTAGTGGTCTTTAAAGGTCTCATCATAGAAACACATCACATTACAGTGCTTATACAAAACTAATTACTGCTTACCAAGTGGATCCAGCTGTATCTGTACCTGTCTAGAGTTGTACCTTTTGTCCATAGGAGAAGCTCTGTCCATCGCTGGCTCTCCTCCAGGAGATCTCAGGCAGGGGTTCACCCTCAGCTTTACAGGAGATCATAGCAGCACTGCCCTCCACAGCTGTCACGTTCCTCAGCTTAGTGATGTGTGGTTGGACTACAAGCAGAATAAAACAGACCATCCATAATGTATAGTGAAAAACAAGTTATTTACACAGCCATCAAATAAGCCAAATCAAAATGTTCTAAAAATTATGTATGATACTGCTAAAATGTAGACAGTTGATTGTCAATTGGAATGCAGGCACCATGCATGCTTGAATACACACGCGTACACAAACACAATTACTTATGCTTATGTTATATATTTTGTGATGATCTGACTTTTTGTGTGGGATTGATGATCAATAGAGTAACACCTTTCTGCTCCAGGTGAAATGGTGTAAGAGAAGCTGCACTGCTGCGCTTACCTCAATAAATATACATAAGAGCTTTTATCCCACAGGTCACATTTTAATATCATAAATCAATGAGACACAGATTTATATCTGTGGCCCCTGACAGTGCATCAATACATAGGAAACAGTCCCACTGAGCAGTTCTGTGTTTAATATGTCTCCTGACACGTTCAAAATGAATTACCCCAACATAGCAATCCTGCTGTTGAGATTACAAAGATAAATAACTGAAACTGTGTATGTTTGCAATTTAGACATGGTTCATTAGTCTGCAAAACTAATTACACGATGAGATCAGAAAAATAAATGCCTGAAGTCAAAGTATCTGGCAGTACTAAATAGAAAGAAAACTAGAACTAGAAGCTCTTTGAGGCAGTGGTGTCATATAAGCATGATAATAATTGTATATTTCAGTACGGTTCTATGAGACTAGATAGAGCATGTACAGAGAACTGAAACCTAAGACTTTGACATGGACTTTATTAGAATGAGAAATAAGTCTTATTAGTATGGAGAAGTGAGACAGATGAGACATATGGTAAGTTAAACTACGTTTCCCATCACCCTTTGCAAACTAACCTCCCATGCAATAACTAGGCATCATTGAAATGAACTCTGTGAAAAATGTCCTTTGCTTGCACATTGAAAGGATTCTGATGACTACAGAATAAATCTCCATACATTTACATGAGCTGACAAGGTGCTATCTGAATAATCTAAGAGGATGCTGGCAGCTTCATGAAAATCTAAATTGAAATTCTTGGCCATAAAGAGAGTGTCACCTATTTTCTTAAATTATTTTATGAACCTGTTTATGGCAGGAAAACTGGAGGGCTGGACGTGGGAGGCTTATGGCAAAAAGAAGAAAAAAAAACCTATCTCATTCCTCTTAACAGCAGAATCTTCTCTTCTCTATAACTTCTCTGCACCCAGTCATACTTTTTTTATATTACCTGCATTGTGTTATATACACATATACACGTGTTATAGTACACATTTAAGCACACAATCAGATGTACAGCCATGTGCAACAGCCAAGTTCTATGGTAGCCTAATTTGAATGTAAATTGGCACTACATTTGTGTCTATCAACTACTAAAAAATTAAGGGTTGCACCAAGTGACATAGTTTCAATGTAGTTGGTGTAACTTTAAAATTTACACCAACCACCTGTTAGGTGCAACATTCACAGTAAATAAAACCAGTGATTCTTTTCAAACAATTTGAACAATGCTGCCATGTGCAGAGTAGGAAGAGCATTTAGGTCTAAAAATCCATTTTGTTTTCTCTGTATTTTGTTAGGAGGATTTCTTCATGTAGATAGTTATAGGACATTACACTGGACATAGAAAACTCACAGAAATATAGTTTCTGTAATGGAACACTGCACATAGAAAACTCACAGAAATATAGTTTCTGTAATGGAACATGTAAACAGGAGGGATTAAGGCTATTTTTATGTCAGCGAGTGTAGCAAGCTTTTTCCTCAGGCAGCAAAATGTTATCAAATAGAGATACTGACATAATATTTAAAAAACTTGTAATATTAATTTGTAATATAAATGTAATATTACATTGTTGTTTGGTGTATTCAGATGTGGATTAAGTTTGTAGGCATTAGTTATTTGTCGCTGCCATGGCTTGTTACGAAAATGCTGTTAAATTTGTTGCACCAGAGCCCAAGAAACAGAATTTACATTTATATTTACCTCATTCGGCTACCATTATAAATGGTGCATACCATAACATTATTGTTACCACAATTATTTTGATTTTTCTCATTTATCTAGGGTTAACATATAACTAAATTGGAGTAAATATATTACACTGAAAAAAAGACAGACATTAACATGACCCAATCATGTA